GAAGTACTGACCTATAATTTCCATGTTTTTCATTTGTAACCGAAATTTAAAATGGCAAACATTAAACATTTCATTAATTGCGTTTGCAAAAACAAAGCTTAATTCAAGTTCATGGATAACATAAAGTGCCCAAAAAATTGAAATTCTGCTCTCCGTTCTTTTAGTTTTCATGAACATGATATGAATCTTCTTCTCCGTTCTATCAAGTATGCAATAACCTATTCTGTGTCGATTACTGCACAGAACCCCTTTTTTTAAATTCAATACAGACATATGGTATATGATGTTTTCGATCAATGAAATATGGTGGGTATTAACTGATGAATATACCAGTAACTTTCATCTATTGCTCATATGTTAAATCTTTATTTTTAGATTCCTTGCCATAATCTGAATAATTGAGTGTTTTTATTAATTAATTCCGTACATTGCATATATTATTACGAATCTTTGAATCAATTGCATAATTCTTGTCTATCAAGATTTTGTTTTACATTATGTTAGACGATAGCACTTTTTTGTGTAAACTAGTCCTCTGATTCCCCCGGAGGTTGATGTCGACAACTCGATGAATCTCCTGGTCGTAGCTCACTCCATGCCATTTATGACAACAGTTAGTACCAGTCCATGAGTCAGAAATGCTAAAGTAGGGCTCATGCAAGGTAGCTTTGAACTTGAAGGCCAGTAAAGTTGCCCGGTTCGACGGCGAACAGGCATTAGATACAGAACTTAGTGTAAGAAACACAACTGATATATACGAAGGATTGTAAATGCCATTGTTTATCTATAGTTTTCTCTCTCTAGAACACAGTACTTTTCTCTTTAGAACTCAGTTTTGCATATGGAGTTCTAGCCTTGCAGGTATGTGTAACAATATGAGTTTATCGGATTATTTTATTAAACAAAAAACTTGCAAATAATAGTTAATTCAATCATTCAAGCTTATTTTTTACTTTTCATTTGAGTACCTCTATATCCAGATTATTTTTCATTTATTAGATATTGGCGTCAAATGATTTCTTGTACAAAGATTCGAACAAAAACATACAATGTATTGTTGATTTGATGGAAATGAAGTGCACTTGCCACAGGTTCCAGTACAATGTGTTTCTTGAATTGTTCTCATATTTTTATCATTCTGCGAGAAATATGTTCTCAGTAAGACAAAAGCTAAATCTTGATCTTTCCGATGGGTAACTCTTTTTGGTCCCAGACTTGTAGTGTCAACTGTCAAGCGACTCAAAAATCATCATACAATAAAGATTATCAATCCGTTATTGGTGTAATAAAAAACAACAATTGAACTATCAGATGGAAAATTTTGATCACCAATGTTAGATAGAAACATAGTTACATATTTCTTTCAAGTAACCAACTACATTAGTTTCTTTCCTATTCCTGTCATATGGCATTGCCCTCAACCCCATTAAATTATTGCATGTTATGAATTCTTTCTCCGAATTTAGTCTTTTGCTCATTTCAAATTCAGCATTAACCTTTCACTTATCCTGGCCGCAGACAAACAGTACCATGATGCACTAGCCATGATGCAGTCAAAGACAGACATCACTTACCTCAGATCTCACATTTGCTCTGCTAATGAAGGCAGACTGCAATTTAATTTGCAAAACAGAATACATTCAAACTTTAACATATATCGCCAAACTTATATCACTTCAGCAACATAAACTTAGCAAATTAACTTAGATTAACATGTGCTTCACCATGCATCCACAAAATTATAATATTGTTTACATGACACCAAATTGAGTATGAAGCACATAACTTCTAGTGTAATGCAAATTATATGATTCAATTAGTTAGGTGTATCATTGCATAATATGTAACATCTAAGTGTGCAATTCGACCAAGATGATAAAGTCATGAGCTTCATGTGTATATTGTAAATGGGAGAGACAAGTTATCTAATTTTTGGAGGGCTAAATTATTAGTGGCAATGCATTAATGAAAAATTGGCACACATAACCATTACCATGGCACAACCCTTACTGTACTTATTTTCACTCTCTAATTTTTTCCCCTAGCTATTTCTTTCACATTACATTAGATGACATGTCTTTGAGTATTATATATCTTGCGTCATATTGTATGTATTTTTCATTGACACACATTCTTGGTTTGGGGTCATGCTGATACATTTTAACTATATATTCATTTGTGTGTAGTGTGTAGGTAGTGTTTGACATGACTTGAAATGATACATGAATGGTTTGAAACATATAGCATCAAATGAAATGTAACACATTAGCAAATTCCAAGTCTCAACAAAATAGTCTCACTTCACATTTTAATAAGCAAGAACCAAATTTGACAAGCTTTAACCAAATTCAGAGCATTGGACTCTTGCTAGTTAGTACCCACTTAACAATTTAAAAAGCCCAGCATATATATGCCAAAAAAATTTATATCAAAGTCCATCTCATAACCTTCTATCTGCTTCTCGTACCATGCTTGAATAGTTGGGTAGCCAAGTACGATCATGAGATGTTCACGTTGAAGTTTTCTGCCATCACATCAATCGTTTGGTTGGAAGTTGATTAAGAATTTTTTTCTTATTGGAACTAGGGTTTAGAACAACCAATTCAATATGCCTCTTGGAGGAGTTGTCTTGTTTTTTTTTTTTTTTTTTTTTTTTTTTGGATCGTTGCATCTCCTGGATGTGAATGGCTAGAATCAGATGACCTATGAACATTGTCCCTTGCATCCATCAAATTGCTTACTTAACAAGTGATGCATCTTGAAAGAGTTTCCAGATTTTCATTCTTGGTGTCCAATAACTCCATTGATGGTGTAGTACAGAACCACAGATTGTTCTTGTCGAATCCCTAGTTGAAATGTGTTTTGGAGTTTCCATCTAATAGGTCAGAAGCTTGATGCCTGGTGTGTAATCTCTCAAATAGGATTTTAATAAATTATTTGATGCAAAGATTGAAAATAATGAAGTTTTATAGAGATTGGAATCGTTAACTCTCTCTATGCATATCTTCAGTAGATTTACATGGATCATGAGATTGATGAAAAATGCAACGAATCGGTGTGTGTGTGTGTGTGTGTGTGTCTCAAAAACAAAGATTTTTTGGATGAAAAATATGGTGGAATTATAGGTTGAGATATGATTTGTAGAGTTCTTGGAGTGTATTGAATATCTTTTTGTTTTGATTTACCAATTTCTTAGTTCAATTGTTTAATGGTAAAGGTGGGAGATTTGAGAAATAGGAAGTGAATTCGAGGTGGTTTATGAGGCGTGTCTGGTGGCATGATTTCAGCTTTTAGTATATAAAATATGGGATGGAGGATATTTTTCATTTTTCTTTTATACTACATATATTGTAGTTTATTTGGTGGAAAAAGTTTGGAAAGGTACGTGGTGACATTTCGACGATTGTGGAGATTGAAATTTAAGGTTCCTTTTTATCTCTATGTGCTCAAAGAGAAAGAGTTAGAGAGAGTGAGGAAGAGGAAGAGGGAGGCGATGTACATCAATGAGAAGTGATGAAGTTATGGATTTGAGCTTAGGGTTTTGGAGTGAAATGAAATGCCTGCATGGATGAGTGAAAATTGTTTGACCGTGATATGAAATTTTGAGAGCCAAAAGAATATTTTGGCAGGAAGTGAAATTTTAGGAGGGGAAATTGAAATCACCATTAACATCGACTAAAGTAGTCGTTGAATGTCGAATTTTTCTTTAGTTTCAACAACAAGACAAATCAATTGTTGTTTTAGTATATTAACTACTAGACATTATTGTAATCGAATGTTTACTACCAATTGCGCTGTCGTTGAATATGAACGGACATTTTGGTGGGAATTTTTGATTTGGCGTCCACTCACAACGGCCAATTTAATTTGGTCATAAAAGATATAGAATTAACAATTATTTATGGGTCGTTATAAAATATTTCCGACTAATTTAACCATTTTGTACGACTAAACTTATGTTTAATCGTCGAAAATAATTTTTAACCACCAAATTGATTTTGTCCTTGAAGCATTAGTCATAAAATATCATTTTTCTTGTAGTGTAAGCAATAAAAATAATCATAGGTGGTTCGCTTATATAAAATCAAGTATAATCTTAAGCAGTAGTACTGTGAAAATTTCTTTGCATTGTGTACCTGAATCCGATCCTCAATGGCGAGATCTTTCTTTAAAACGTCTTATTGACCATTTCATTGTCAAAGGTAATGAAGAGACCAAAATAGTGCTTGCCAAATGTCAATATGTGGAGTACAATTTTGAACATCCCTCTTGTATTTGTAAAATCTGAATTCAAATATACCGGTCTTACAAACTTCAACCACCATTTTGAAGATAATCTCATATTTATTTTGTCATTAAGAGGTGTGAGGCAACGCTTAGGTTTAGCTATTCCTTAGGTTTCCTTTTGGACTAGACCTTGATTTCTATTTGAAATCTGTTTAATCTATGTAATATTTGGCCTAGTTTTAAGCTTTTTAGATGGGGGGGGGGGGCCTAAAAACTTTAAAAACTCACTCAATGCCAATTTCATCCCCTTGTTTAGTTCCTTCCAGAAGGAGTGGTTTTCATTGTTCAGCATGAGCTTGTTGAGTAGTAAACTTGATTTTTGGACTAAATAATAAGAGTTTAAGGATTTTGCTTATAGACCCAAATCAATTAAAAGGCCCTACATGCCTAGTATTTCTAGAAATATTGTCTAGAAAAATCTATATAAATATCTAAGTAAGATATGTGGTCTTATGAAGAATATCTATAGAATTCTAGGAAAATATCTTGATGTATGATCTAGATATCTCTAGAAAATTGTGTGGACTAGAAGTTTCATGTAAACACTAAATAAAGGGGGCAATGCCCTCCATTTTGTAATAAGCCAAAAAATGTGTAAAGTCTTGAAGTTGAGAAATACAAGTTTCCTTTTTTCACTTCATTCTTCCTATTAGTGTTGTCCTTTTAAAAGCCTTAGCCAATCCAAGTTAGTAAACCCCTATTTCCTCCAACAAACTAGTATCAGAGCCCTAAGGTTCTTGTGAAAAATGGCAAGTGAGATGATTCCTTTTCAAGTTTCCCAACTCAACAAGGATAACTACGACAATTGGAGCATAAGGATGAAAGCGTTGCTCGGGTCCCAAGATGCATGGAAGAACGTAGAGAAAGGTTACACGGAGCCACAAGACGAGGTTGCTTTATCCCAAGTACAAAGGGATAGTTTGAAGGATGCAAGGAAGAAGGACAAGAAGGCGCTTACCCTCATCTATCAAGCCTTAGATGAAGGCATGTTCGAGAAAGTAGCTTGTGCTACTACAAGTAAGGAAGCATGGGGATTTTGCAAAACTCCCACAAAGGAGTTGAGAAGGTGAAAAAGATTATACTCTAAACACTTCGAGGTGAGTTTGAAGCTTTACATATGAAAGAATTGGAATCAATTTCTAATTACTTGTCTAGAGTATTGGCTATTGTGAATTAATTAAAGAGGAATGTAGAAAAGTTGAATGACACTCGAGTAATTGAGAAGATACTTAGGTCTTTAGATTCTAAATTTGATTACATAGTTGTAGCTATTGAGGAATCTAAAGATCTAGATAGTATGAGTGTTGATCAACTCATGGGATCTTTACAAGCCCATGAGGAAAGACTAAAGAAGAAGGTGAAAGAAAAGCCATTAGAGCAAGCTCTTCAAACAAAGCTCACTTTGAACGAGGGTGAAGGAAGGTTCAGTACTAATAGAAGCCAAAGAGGAAGAGGATGAGGAAGAGGCCAATAGCGATTAAGAAGTGCATTCTACAAGGAGGAAAGAAGACAAAGCTTATTTTCCTCCAGAGGTCCTGGAAGAGTAAAAGGTACGAGGGAAAATGAAGGGCCAGGTATGACAAATCTCAAATTAAATGTTACAATTGTCAAAAACTTGGTCATTATGCTTCAGAATGTAAAAATAGTACTAACCAAGTTAAGGAGAAAGCTAACTATGCTTGTTGGGAAATTGAAGTGGATCTTGCACTAATATTAGCTTACAAAGGTAAAGAGAGTAGAGAAAAGAACACTTGGTATTTGGATACTGGAGCAAGCAATCGTGTATGTGGAAGAAAAAACATATTTGTGGAACTTGATGAATCAGTAAGCGGCAACAATACCTTTGAAGATGAATCCAAGATCCCAGTGAAAGAAATAGGTAAAATCTTGATCCGCTTGAAAAATGATACTCATCAATTTATCTCAAATGTCTATTATGTGCCCAATATGAAAAATAACATTTTAAGTTAAGGACAACTCTTAGAGAAGGGTTATGATATTCATTTGAAAGATCATAGTCTTTTAATAAGAGATCAAAGAGAAAATTTGATTGCCAAAGTACCTATAACAAGAAATAGAATGTTTGTGTTAAGCATTTAAAATGATGTTGCCAAATGCTTAAAATCTTGTTTTAAAAATTCATCTTGGCTTTGGCACTTGAGATTTGGGCATCTTAATTTGGAGGCTTAAAGTTGTTGAGTAAGATTGATGGTGAAAGGTTTGCCTCCAATAAATCATGCAAATCAATTATGTGAAGGATGCTTACTTGGAAAGCATTCGAGGAAAGTTTTCCAAAAGAAGTATCTACAAGAGCTAAGAAGCCGTTAGAACTTGTATACTCTGATGTTTGTGGGCCAATTAATCTAAGCTCTCTCAGTAAAAGCAATTACTTTGTTCTTTTTATTGATGATTTTAGTAGAAAGACTTGGGTCTATTTTCTCAAACAAAAATCGGAAGTTTTTGAAACTTTTAAGAAGTTTAAAACTCTTGTTGAAAAAGAAAGTGGATATAGTATAAAAGCCTTAAGATTGGATAGAGGAGGAGAGTTCACCTCCAAAAAGTTTGAGAAATATTGTGAGGAGAATGGAATTCATCGCCCATTGACGGTTCCATACTCTCCACAACAAAATGGAGTAGCTGAAAGAAAGAATATATCAATTCTTAATATGGCTCGTTGCATGCTCAAAAGTAAGAGATTGCCCAAAGAACTTTGGACCGAAGCTGTTAATTGCACCGTGTATCTGTCTAATCAATCGCATTCTAAAAAAGTGTGGAATAAGACACCATAAGAAGTATGGAGTGGAAGAAAGCCTAGCATCTCTCACTTACGAGTATTTGGGAGCATTGCATATGCTCATGTACCAGATCAAAAACAATCCAAACTAGATGAAAAGAGTGAAAGGTATGTTTTTATCGGTTATGACTCTCGCTCTAAAGGCTACAAGTTGTATAATCCAAATAAGAAGAAGATCATCAAAAGTAGAGATGTCGAGCTTGATGAAGAAGGAGCTTGGGATTGGGCTGTCCAAGAAGAAGACTACGACTTTTTACCAATCTTTGAAGAAGAAGAATAAGAGAATGAAGAGCTGCAAGAGCTTATCAATCCACCTCTATCGTCTACTCGTGGAGATGCTTCTCCATCATCTTCACAAGGAGAAAGCTCGAGCGAAAGGACACCATGGTCTTATGATGCTTCTCCATCATCTTCATATGTGGTCTTATGAAGAATATCTAGAGAATTCTAGAAAAATATCTTGATGTGTGGTCTAGATGTCTCTAGAAAATTGCGTAGACTAGAAGTTTCATGTAAACACTATATAAAGGGGTAGTGCCATCCATTTTGTAATAAGCCAAAAAGTGTGTAAAGTCTTGAAGTTGAGAATTACAAGTTTTCTTTTTTCACTTCCTTCTTCCTATTAGTGTTGTCCTCTTAAAAGCCTTAGTCAATCCAAGTTAGTAAACCCCTCTTTCTTCCAACAGAGTTCTCCTGTTAGAATTTCTAGTATTCTTGAAAATCAAATTAATTCAAATTAAATTCATGCTTGGTAATTCTGCTTTGTCTAATTTTTTGTTTGTAAATGATGAATATAAACAGTTATTTTTAAAATTTTCAAGAATTAAAAAAATTATTTCTTGTTTTTCGTGAAAATATTCTTGAGGAATCCATTATGGAACAATATAAATTCAGTTGTCTTGTTAAATTAGTAAGATTGTTTGCAAATTTAATTTTGGTCAAGAATTGAATTCTTGTTCTTCTAAAGTACAGTATCGCTTTCTAGGTTCTTATGATTTTACATTTTAGATCACTATTAAATGAAATTCTTGGAGAAAACTTGTAAGTTGTAAAAGTGAATCCCGAAAGGAGGCAAGCACTTCTGTTCTAACATATCCTTGTGAAGAACAAGATGAAGACCTGAGGTTTTTATTTCAATTGCTTCCTCCCAGACATTTGAGTTACTGCTGGTGAACTGATTTAGTTCCAAGCCCTTATGGCGGCCCTAGAAATCAATTTCTTAATTATCAATAAGAAACCTCTTGATGTCCCTAATAGAAACCTAACCCTAGTAAAAAATGTGCTGCCAAAGGAGGAAAAAAAAAAAAAAGGAAAGAACAGAGAGTATAAAAGCTGGGGAGTCTTTAGGGTTCTTCCCAAATTTCTGAGCTTGGTTGATTGTGATAGAAAGATCCAGTTAAATTTAAGATTCAAGTTAGATCAACAGGCTAGAGGGCTTGATTCTAACAAATTTAAAATAAAAATTGGTCAAAATAAAATATGAGTTTCCTATCTTCTAATTCTAATATTTTAGATTTATATTTAGATGGAATTTGAAACCCCAAACTCATGACTTAACAATGATACATCACTATTGATTTTGTAATTTAGAAGTGGCTTATCTTTCTATTCAAATTTTTTGATACTTGATTTTTCAGTGCTGTATTTCTATGTGTTGTTTTGCACAAAATTTTTATGTGGCTGTTGTTGATTATTCTGAACAACTTATGATCATTTGCATTGACATCACTCCCAATTTCAATCCATCATTTTGGTTTTTTAATTTTATGATTTATTCCAGGTTAGTATCAGATTTTTTATTTTTGTTTTATTTTTATTTTTTATTTTTTATTTTTTATCTTAGTATAGTTATAGGTGAGAAGAATCAGGAAATTCCTTTCAATACCAAAACACGATGAGTTTTCATGATCCTGCACAGCAACCACCACTTCCTCCATTACTTCCTCTACCTTTTGCCAGTGAAGATGTTGATAGGTTTTGGTCTACACCTCCTATGAATGGTGCTGTTTCTCTATTTGAGGATCCCCCTCAGTTCAAGAGACTAATGAATTTTGAAAACAACCCATCAAATTTTGCACCCTTTGCACAAATAAATTCCGCAATGATATTAATAAATCTTGGACACTAAAGGGACGGGCTATACATTTTACAAGACTTGTATTTGTGCAAAATTCCCCAAATGTACCTGCAAGAATGGCGAGCATTGCACATATGCTCATGATGTTGAAGAATTATGAAATTCCCCTCCAAATCGGCAAGAGCTTGTTTGAGGAAAGAAGAGAGGCACTGGGGATTTTAGTGATGACAAAAGGCTGATATACAAGATGAAAATTTGCAATTTATTTTACAACGGACATGAGTGTCGATATGGAGAGAAATGCAAATTTCTACATGAACGTCTAATGAAATTTATGACTGACATTTCAAGGCAAAAGAGAGCAAGAGTTGTTGAAAGTATTGGAGCTACATGGCCTGATTTGATAAATAAAAAAGATTATGCTCAGCCTGATTATAGTAAGAACATCAGCAGCAGTTCCGATACTTTCTAAGCAAAGACAGCATTTTGGAAAACGAAAATATGTTGCAAATGGGAGATCGGCTGATACCCTTTCGGAGAAACATATCATTTTGCTCAAGACCAGTCAAGTATATTTAGTCACTCGTAGTACGATTTAAATCTTTCTTTTCTGGCTTAGTTCAACACAATTAATGTTTTTGCTATGAACTGATCTTGCTGATTTACCTTGTTTAGCAATATCCTTTTATGGCATTAACAAGAAAAAGAAGGTTCTCATTAAATGGCAGCAGATAACATATTTTGTCCTTTTTCGCAAACAAAAAATTTTGTAGTCCAGATAACACATTCAAAATATTGTTACGAATAATGATATTTGTTTTAAAATCAAACGTGTACGTGGTTATACTGTAATATTTGAATCAAAATGAAAGCAAAGAAATATCGTGAAAAGTATGTTATCAAGTTCCTAATATTTCTCTTTTGCTCAATTCGATGCCCTTCTTATAATAAATTTCAATAGAACATTTCCTACATGAACATCGCTTTCAATTAGTGGCATGTTTATTTCCTATCGAAAATACTTTATATGTGAAACTTCAAACACATATGCTTCCTTTTCTGCAGATTTGCAGTCACCTGGTGCTCGTGTTGAGACAGAGCTGATAATGAATACAGGCCTCAAAATTCCAGAAGAGCCTCTCCCCATACCTGTAATTGGTTCATCTCATGCAACTGCAGTTATCGTTGCTCCAGCAAATAAAGATGCAGAAAGAAAGAAATGGAAGCTCGACAGGCAGGTTAAGGGAATTTATGCTGATTGGTTGGATGTCTTCTTGCCTCATCACTACTCCCCCAGCGAGGAATTTATTTCAGTGGGGGCATAGTTTAAAAAAAAAAAAAAATATGAAACACGAGAATAAACAAGAATATTAAAAATTCATTTACAGATTTTCATATTTCGAAAATGACAATTCTTGAAATATTTAATCAACGTACTTAAAATAAATTATTCCAAACTAAAAATGAAACTAGTTAAAACCAATTATCAAAAAAAGAAAAAAAAAAAAGAAGGAAAAAAAAAAACCACATTTATTCATCCACTAATGTCCGTACACTTAAAAAAGATATGGCATTCTTGAAGTTTTGA